AGAGAGTAATATGGATGCCAGCAGTGATGAAGAGAGTAATATGGATGCCAGCAGTGATGAAGAGAGTAATATGGATGCCAGCAGTGATGAAGAGAGTAATATGGATGCCAGCAGTGATGAAGAGAGTAATATGGATGCCAGCAGTGATGAAGAGAGTAATATGGATGCCAGCAGTGATGAAGCAAGAGAGGTAATATGGATAGCAGGAAGAGAGGGCTATGACAGCAGTGATGAAGAGAGCAATATGGATGCCAGCAGTGATGAAGAGAGTAATATGGATGCAAGTGATGAAGAAGAGAGTAATATGGATGCCAGCAGTGATGAAGAGAGTAATATGGATGCCAGCAGTGAAGAGAGTAATATGGATGCCAGTGTGATGAAGAGAGTAATATGGATGCCAGCAGATGAAGAGAGTAATATGGATGCCAGCAGTGATGAAGAGAGTAATATGGATGCAGATGAAGAGAGCAATATGGATACAGCAGTGATGAAGAGAGTAATATGGATGCCAAAAATGTGCATGAAGAGAGTAATATGATGCCAAAGCAGTGATGAAGAGAGTAATATGGATGCCAGCAGTGATGAAGAGAGTGGATGCCAGCAGTGGCTAAAGAGAGTAATATGGATGCCAGCAGTGATGAAGAGAGTAATATGGATGCCAGCAGGATGAAGAGAGAATATGATGCCTGCAGTGACAAGAGAGTAATATGGATGCCAGCAGTGATGAAGAGAGTAATATGGATGCCAGCAGTGATGAAGAGAGTAATATGAGCAGCAGTGATGAAGAGAGTAATATGATGCCAGCAGTGATGAAGAGAGTAATATGGATGTTGATGAAGAGAGTAATGGATGCCAAAGCAGTGATGAAGAGAGTAATATGGATGCCAGCAGGATGAAGAGAAGCAGCGATTTCGCAGTGATGAAGAGAGTAATATGGATGCCAGTGATGAAGAGAGTAATATGGATGCCAGCAGTGATGAAGAGAGTAATATGGATGCCGCGTGATGAAGCAGAGTATTGGCGGATGCCAGCAGTGATGAAGAGAGTAATATGGATGCCAGCAGTGATGAAGAGAGTAATGGCGGATGCCAGCAGGAGCGAAGAGAGCAATATGGATGCCTGTGCGACAGAAGAGAGTAATGGCGGATGCCAGCAGTGATGAAGAGAGTAATATGATGCCAGCAGTGATGAAGAGAGTAATATGACAGCAGGATGAAGAGAGTAATGGATGCCAGCAGTGATGAAGAGAGTAATATGGATGCAGCAGTGATGAAGGAGATAATATGGATGCCAGCAGTGATGAAGAGAGTAATATGGATGCCTGCAGTGATGAAGAGAGTAATATGGATGCCAGCAGTGATGAAGAGAGTAATATGGATGCCAGCAGTGATGAAGAGAGTAATATGGATGCCAGCAGTGATGAAGAGAGTAATATGGATGCCAGCAGTGATGAAGAGAGTAATATGGATGCCAGCAGTGAGAATGAGTTTTCAGGGTTTGAGGATGCTGATATACCTAGTTCTGAAGATGATGATGATATAGGTTTTGTAGATGATTATTAAATAAATCCTTATGATACTTTTTTTTTCAATTTTTACTGCTGGCTATGTACAGTAGCCTATGATATCCACTGAAATAACAGTTTCTATTAGAATGCATTAATTTTTTTCCTGTTGCTTGCTGTGTATTTATATTCAATGAAATATTGGGTCTAGGACAACTGGCCGCCGCCATCTGTACGCAGCCCAACTGGCATAGGAACTTCGCCCGACTCGACTGGCGCCATATGGAACTTTGTTGACAAAATTGATGAAAGTGTAAAAAAGATTAAAATTTCTTTATGAAGTACTTTATTGGAATAAAATAATAAAAGATACATATGCAAAAAATCTATGAAAGTTATGTTGTTAGTAAAATTATTGTTGGTAAAAATAAGCATGCTAAAATGTGCTTTATTGATTAAAAAAACAAGATTCAACAAAAATCTATGAAAAGTTATGGGCAATTCCTACCCAACCTAACCTAACCTAACCTAACTAACCTAACCACCAGGAAAAGGAAAATCACAAGTGTCAAGCGCTTTGCTAGATTTACATCTTCAGGACTGAATACAGAATACAAGAATCAGTTCTATTATCTAAGTTTCTCTTATTTTATTTTTTAGTACATAGTTTTACTGTTTTTTTGGATGTTGAATTCAGAATTGACTTGTTTTTAATCATTCGCGAATCAATCGTTCGCTGGTGGGGGTTTAAGGAGTTTACCCCCAGTCCGCGGCGAGTTTCCCGCGGCCAGTTGGGACTGGCCAGATGGCGGCGGCCAGTTGTCCCATTCCCTGAAATATTTGCTTTGTCTGCATGTACAGTATCTATAGGAATTCATTCACATTTATTGTTCTTTGCTGCTTCCTTTGTACCAGTTTTTACCGATATATTTGCTTTGTCTGCATGTACCAGTGTTCACTAATACCAATGTATTTCTTTTTAGCTATGGTAAATTTTATTTATTTTTCTTTCAAGGTTAGTATAATGTTACTATATATGATTTCCTACTTACCTCCAGTATATATTGTATTTACAGGCACAAAATCATATGTTTTCCCCTACAAAACCACTTTAAAATCACTTTCAATAAATGTATGATGAAATGTACTAAAATTGTTTTTTCCACAAAATATCATTGTAAAATAGGGTGCGTTTTATGCGGTGGTGCGTCTTATACACCGTCAAATACGGCATATTAAAAAGCGACAACTTTCTATTATAATTTTAAGGATTTTTTAGGATTTTTTTTTATTTACTCTATCCTATGATCTTAAAATTCTTTGTTAGTGGGCAGGGCATGAAAGATGAGGTTACTTACGGGGTAAAAACACGGCGAACACTGATGTTATGGCATTAAAATTACGTCTGTAGATGCATTACAAACACCACAATCATTTTCTTACTGTAAGTCACCTAATTCCTAGCCGTCATTCCTTCCTCTCCAATTGTATAAATTTTTTTCTAATATTCCTGATCCTTTTTTAATAAAATAATTACGCATATTTGTTAAGTTTAGAAATATGTATATACCACTTTATTCTTCTTTTGTTTATTTATTAAATGCATTCTCTGTTCTCTATATATCATCTATAGTCTGTACAGCACGTGATGATTACGTGTTAGAGCGTCATGTTTGACCTGCGTTGCTGTGATTTTTGTTACCGTGAATTACCAGGCCTAGTTCTTGATGGTTCTCATGTGTTAGCTCTTATTAGTGATCATGGTAGTTCTTGATGGTTCTCGCGTGTTAGCTCTTATTTGTGATCATGGTAGTTCTTGATGGTTCTCGCGTGTTAGCTCTTATTTGTGATCATGGTAGTTCTTGATGGTTCTCATGTGTTAGCTCTTATTTGTGATCATGGTAGTTCTTGATGATTCTCCGTGTTAGCTCTTATTTGTGATCATGGTAGTTCTTGATGGTTCTCGCGTGTTAGCTCTTATTTGTGATCATGGTTTAATTAACTCAATATTAAGGTAAGTTGTTTACGATTTTCTATTAATATGATATTAAACACAAATGAAAACGACAACACCTAGACCCTAATAGAACCTGACCTAACAAACCCTGGGTTGTTAGGTCAGGTTCTATCTTCCATTTCTGTGTTTAACGTCATACTAATAGTGTGTATACAAAAAAATTAAACCAAATCGCACATTTCCTACAGGTGATAACAATTTTGTATAACTTTACCAAAAAAGTTATTTGCCCCAAAGATAAATGTCAGAATCATTTAACACAACAAAAAAATCTAGCACCTCACTCTTGAAGTGTGAAAGGTTGAAAGTTTAGTGTGTGAGAGGTGTAGTGTGAGAGGTGTAGTGTGAGAGGTGTAGTGTGAGAGGTGTAGTGTGAGAGGTGTAGTGTGGTGGTGTAGTGTGAAAGGTGTAGTGTGAGAGGTGTAGTGTGAGGGGTGTAGGTGTGAGAGGTGTAGTGTGGTGGTGTAGTGTGGAGAGGTGTGGTGTGAGAGGTGTGGTGTGAGAGGGTGTGGTGTGAGGTGTGAGTGTGAGTGGTGTGGTGTGGGGGAGAGAGTGTGTGTGAGAGAGGTGTAGTGTGAGAGGTGTAGTGTGAGGTGTGGGGTGAGAGGTGTAGTGTGAGGGTGTGAGTGAGAGGTGTAGTGTGGGGGGTGTGGTGTGAGAGAGGTGTAGTGTGAGAGGTGTAGTGTGAGGTGTGGTGTGAGAGGTGTGGTGTGAGAGGTGTGGTGAGAGGGGTGTGGTGTGAGAGGGTGTAGTGTGAGAGGTGTGGTGTGAGAGAGGGTGTAGTGTGAGAGAGGTGTAGTGTGAGAGGGTGTGGTGTGAGAGGTGTAGTGTGAGGGGGGTGTGGTGTGAGGTGTGTGTGAGAGGGTGTGGTGTGTGAGAGAGGTGTGGTGTGGAGGTGTGGTGTGAGAGGGTGTGGTGTGGGGAGAGGGTGTGGTGGAGGAGGTGTAGTGTGAGAGAGAGTGTAGTGTGAGAGAGGTGTGAGTGAGAGGTGTAGTGTGAGAGAGGTGTAGTGTGAGAGGAGTGTGGGGGTGTGGTGTGAGAGGGTGTGGTGTGAGAGAGGTGTGGTGTGGGAGAGGTGTGGTGTGAGAGGTGTAGTGAGAGGGTGTGGTGTGAGAGGTGTGGTGTGAGAGGTGTGGTGTGAGGGTGTGGTGTGAGAGGGTGTGGGGTGGGGGGTGTGGTGTGAGAGAGGGTGTGGTGTGAGAGAGGGTGTGGTGTGAGGGAGGTGTGGTGTGAGAGGTGTAGTATGTGAGAGGTGTGGTGTGAGAGAGGTGTAGTGTGAGAGAGGGTAGTGTGGGGAGGTGTGTGTGAGAGAGGTGTAGTGTGAGGAGGTGTGGTGTGAGAGGTGTGGTGTGGGAGGTGTAGGTGTGAGGAGGTGTAGTGTGAGAGAGTTGAGTGTGGAGAGGTGTGGTGTGAGAGGTGTAGTGAGAGAGGTGTAGTGTGAGAGAGGTGTGCTCCCACACATACTAAGTGTAACAGTACCTGGGAGGAGCAGCAGCCAGCCACAGCTGATCACTCGTACACAAACAACTGTCAACCTGTAACACTGTTTAGTCTCAGCGGAACGTCTGTTAATGTTGTGTAATTTACCACGAACAACCTACTTCAATATTTGTTTTATTTTAAGATAACACAATATTAAATTTTATTGGGATTATTTATTAAATATTTTATAATAAATATGTTTTCAATATGTATAATCATACTTTTTAAGCAATATTTTTAATAGAAATAGGTTTAGGCATTTTAATCGTATTTTCTTAACATTAAGAGTTTACCAGGCGGAATCCCTCAATAACACAATGACGTCGACAGTCCTACACCACAACTCAGGACAAAGTTGTACTGTAATGGAGTGGTTCTCAACGTTTGCCCCATGCACCTTTCACCATATGTCAGATGTCATTCCCCCCTCCTTTCCAAAATTGTCTGCCTCCAAAAAGTGTATTCCAAATAATATGCATATAATACTGAAAATCCTTTATTTTTTCCATATTAGTACATATACATTTACAATTTTACATGGAATATTTTTTATAGTGGAGTTTTACAAATTAAATGCCAATTGAAAATGTTGATGGATTTATAAAACTTGAATAAAATAAAAATAGTATTTTTATATTTATAATGAATTACTTAACAGACCAACAAATAATGCAATAAACAAAAAGTTCAATAGAATACCAGGATATTGTAAATTTGTAATTAATTTTATTCAGATGAAGATTACAGTCAATGAAAACCTGTGATTGTTTTTCTTCGCCAATTCTGGGATACGCGGAGAGTGCTTGAAACGGCACAACGCAGGTCATTTTCTACCTCTAATCTACTACGTTGCTTCGTTTTAATTTGCAACAGAGTTTAAAAGTCTGACTCCAAAGATATGTCGACACAAAGCGGAAGCAATGCACGGATAGCTCTTTCTGCCACTTTTGGTGGGAATCGCACATCAAGGGCCAAAAATTCTGTGATTGATTTCTCATCGAACATATCTCTTGCTCCCGATCAGTTCCCCCCAAACCTGAATTCCCCAGGGAGAATTCCCCCTGGTTGAGAACCCTGCTGTAGTGGTTTCTCCCTACAAACGCTTGTCGCTGAGTAGCCGACCCACGAATTCCCAGTGTATGCCTCGTGGTCTAGGTCAACCAGCCCATGACGGAGGTCAACTATTAAGCCACGCCACCTCGCTATATAAAGACCTGACCTCGTGGTGACCTATCTCTCTTTCTACCTACAGCGCAGCAAGCAACACCCTCCTCCGCCTGGCAGCCCTCGCTCCCCCGGCGAGCAGGCTACAAGCTGTCCTCCTCTGAGCACCCTCCCAACCAGCTCTCTACTCAACGCTGTAACCACGCTGCCACTTCCCAGCACCAAGCTGCATTGTACATCAATACAACATGTATACAGAGAGCACATTAGAGGTTTCCTTTCTCCATCCCATCCTGAGTGTGAACCCAAACAACCTGTTCCCAAATGGTGACCCCTGGAGATTGGCACTCACAGGATGGAGGAGAAACCGATCCTCTCCCAGTCTTCAAGCAACATGGAAGACTGGCTTATCCCACAAGGCTCTCGTCTACAGCTACTGTCTCTACACCGCAGGTTAGACACCCTAAACACTGCTTCTCTAAGCAGACACCAGCTCCTCTTCCTGCCCCCAAGCACCACGTCCTCCACCAGCACCCGTCCTGCCTCAGACGCCGCCCCGCAGCAGTACCCCCTGCCGCTCCTCCCGTGCAGCCCCTGCTCCCAGCGGCCCATGCCTAGTCTTGAGACCCCACACCCCTCTTTCTCCTCAGGTACTCCCTGCTACTGTCCTGCACCCTGCTGCTGTCGTGGACCCAGCTGCTGTCACGAGCCCTCATCACTTCTGCTGATGCAAACCCTGCTCTGACCCAGGCCCCACACCCCAGGAGCATCTGACGACTCTGTGCCTGCCGTGAGGAAGCACAACATTCATCGCCTCCCACACACCCTTCTCCCTCCTCTACTCCCCACAGATATTGTGTATCTAGACAGTTGTCTCCTCTAGCCCAGCTCATCCACGCCCTCGCCGTTATGACTCACATGTGTGCCACCGCCCGTTCTGCCTCACATGTGCCATGCAAACCTGCAGACAACAAGTCTCCTACACCGCCTGGAGGGAAGGGGGGAGTACTGTAGTGGATTTTGTATAATATGGACACGAAGTAGGACCTTAAGCTGTGTATTCTTATATTACTCTATTAATTATGTATAGTAAAGTATTACAGAACATGTTTTAATCCTATGTAATATTTCCATTTATTATGCACCATGTTATGTATGTGAATTATCATATTTACATATTATGTATTCAGCTTGTGATGTGGCATCTGTACATGCCAGCGCAGTAATACAGGGAGTTGAGATCCTAGTCTCCTTATGAATTGTGTGAGCTTCGTTGTCTATTAGTTCTGTATATCTCGTCGCGAGGTAGAACCCCTATTTTCAAGATATGAGTGTTTGCATTATACCCTCCGTGGTGTAGAACATTTTTGGGGGTATCAAGACAAACATAGATGGGCGCAGTGAGATTTCTCAGTGAACTTAGCCTTCCCGCCAGACTGTGTTAGTGGCGTCGTCTTCAACCGCCAAGGATTTGGTTACAGCCAGACTACAAGCCTCAGGACCCCACAGTGTTGTGAAGTGCTATGCTGTGTACAGTGCTGTGCTGTGAAGTGAAGTGTTCTGTGATGCTGTGTTGTGTATTTTAATCAGAATTGTCTGTACAAACTGCAGTCAGATAACTGAGAGTGGCCAGCAATGCGTCCTCCGCCTCACAGATAGTGAGTAGCTGAACTGGCGCGTGGAGCCAACCGGTTCGGTTGCGACTTCGCCCAGCTGCCCTCTACGTCTGGCAGCGAAACCTCGACAGCGAGCCATACACACACACACACACATTCACAGACCCACTTTATATTAAATTCTTGCCAATTACTTTAGACTTCTGTAATTCTGTGCATAGATTACGAGGGGTTGACCCGGTCTCTTGCACAGATAGAGTACAGAAGCTGTCTGCATGTCTCACAGGGATCAAAATGATACCCTGGACGATGGGGTTATGAGTTTAAGTTTGGGAGACCTCTCCCCACCCACACTCAGGCCCCACGCTCCCCACAGTGACAACGCCCAATCACCCACAGAATCTCCTCGTTCGTCGCGAGCAAGCTCTCCTGCGGTGCCTGCGTCCACAGATCTCCTTCAACTGATTAAGTGGATGGAAACTTCTCGACGCCAGTACTATGTTGCAAGGAGAGAAGAGGAAGAAATTCGGTACAGAGAGTCTGAAAGACGACGCCACGAAGATGAACAAAGACGCAGAGAACTAGAAGAAATACGTAGAAGTGAGGATGACCTGAGAAGAAGAGAGGATCAAGCCAGATTTGAAGTCTTGATTTCCCTGTTAGCCTCCCCACAACGATCTACTGTACAAGATTCTTCTGCTACTACTAATGCTGATACGACTAGAGGTACTGGTACCTCATTTCCCAGAGTCGGTTCAACAATTCCTCAAAAGGCTGCAGCACAAACGCCTCCCTCTCTGAAGTCTGACGCTTCTTATCAGATATTTCGGGAATGGCGTCGACGTTGGCAAGACTATGCAACAATGGTTGAATTCCGCCGTTTACCATGTTTAAAGGATATGTAGCTATAACGATTTTGAGACACACTTCAAGTGCCTCCTACGGCAACTCTGACTGTAGAGGCCGTGCTTGACAAGTTACAGGAACATGTTAAGGGACAGCGCAACGAAGCACTTAGAAGAAGAGAACTCCTCCAATGTAAGCAGCTTGGAGAATCTTTTGATGTATTTTTTGTAAGACTCAAGAGATGTTCAGAGAAAGTTGATGTTTGTTCTGGAAATTCTCAAGTTTGTGAAGAGACACAACTCAAGACAATCATTTGAACGGGTATTCGAGATGAAGAGCTAGTTCAGCGTCTCATTTCACTTGACCCCACTTCCTCCCTTCAAGATGTTGTTACAATATGTCGAGCTGAAGCTACACCTTCAGCAGCAGCTTTGTGTAATAGCTGCGCGAGACAGCATGATGCCTCCCAGTGCCCAGCTGCTCAAAGCGTGTGCAGAAGTTGCGACCGCCAGGGTCACTGAGCTTACACAGTCAAGTGCCCTGCTAGCAAAGTTCAGTGCAGACTTTGTGGTCGTGTGGGCCATTATGACAAATGTTGTCGCAAGAAGACACATAAAGGACACCACCAAGGATCCAAGAAGTCATCCTCGGGTAGTGCTGGCGCGCCCCCTCCTTCTGGCAAGCATCACGACGCTGTGTCAAGTCGTTCCTGCCGTCGTGTAAATAGTTCCACAGACACGACGCCCCAGCACATCAATGTCGTCATTTCTTACGGTAACTCGTCATCCAGTCTTCAGATGTTACCTGACACCGGTGCTGACGTCTCAGTAATTGGTCCACAACATTTAGCAAGTTTGGGAATACCCCGGAGCAACCTACAGCCCCCTCCTCAGACAACGAAACTGACAGCTGATGGTTCCAAGATGGCTCCAGCGTTGGGATCTTTCTGGGCTACTCTTACCTTTGGTAAGCAGTCTTGCTCAGCCCGGATTGATGTTCATGATGGATCCCGACTCCGCTTTTATCATATGGCCATTGTCAAGAGTTGGCCATTATTTCCAAGGAATTCCCCAAACCTATTTTAAAGATCACCCATGTCAACAGGTTGAAGGAACTCCCTATCTCTACTAACACGTCCCCTTCTGATGCAAGAGCTTACCTTCTCAAGGAGTTTGCGGACGTGTTGGTTATGAAGAAATCTTTGGGATCCACACCACTCAAGCCGATGGTGGGTCCACCTATGAAGATTCATCTTAAGGATGGTGCCACACCTTTTGCCATCCACACCCCTCGTTTGATTCCTCACGCCTACAAAGAGCTAGTTAGACAAAAGCCTGACTCCATAGTTGCTCAGGGAATCATCAAGACGGCCGGAGACGAACCTTCACCTTGGTGCCACCCTCTCGTCCCCGTCGCCAAACCTCGTGGTGGAGTACTGATCACCACCGATCTGTCAAAAC